TGGAAACTTCGTACTGCTACAGGATTGGGTGCCACCACATGGAATCGAAGGGCGTTGGAAAAACTCTCGCCTACTTGGAATGGAAGGGCGGCTGAGTATCCTGAAGAGTCACCTGACCTGAATCCCCTCAATTACCCGGTTCGGGCGGAGTTCAATAGGGTGGTCTACGGTGGCGGAGAAATCGACTATCTCGCTGATCTCAGGCACCACATCGCGGTCGCGTGCCAGAATCTCTCGATGGCGCTCGTCCAGAAGGCTGTGGCGGAGTGTCATGATAGTATTTAATATGCTCTTGGATATGGTGGCATAATGTCCGGGAGAAATGTTTTATTGGCCCCTCTGTATACTCCTCAAATTCCTTCTTAAGGGCAAGTAGCACAGCGCCTAGCACCTTCTTTACTACAGGAGTAGGCTGACTGTAGATCAGTCGTCATCCAGCTTTAGTAGCCATTTAGTCCTCCTGTCGATGATCTGCAAGTCCACGGCCCGTTTAAAAGGAAAACTTGAGGCAGCCAGCTACTGTAAGCCTATTGGTTCAAATCATTTAGAAGCTCTAAAACATACCGTAATATTCCCTCGGATGGCTGCGATCCTGAGCTTAAAAAGCTATCATGGTCAGCGATGACTGGTAGACACAGATATATGGGGTCCCTTTCTAGATGGGAGGTGCGCACCAAGGGAGTCACAAGAGGAGCAGTTGTTGCGAATCCCCGCCTCTTTCCGCGCACATCCCTTTATTGTCGCTAAACTTATAGTAAACGGCTCCGATTACAAACGCTGCTGCTGTAGAAACTCTAACAGAATTTACAGGGTTAAGCGATTTTTGCCATTATCAGTTGATAAAGGCAAAACCGCTTCCCACTCATCATCCAGGCGGACATGCACAAGAAGCGCCAGGAAGTTCAAGCTCATGACCCGAGTTGTGCAGTCCAAATTGGCTCAAACTTCTTACCTTGCACCTTTTCAAAAGAAGAAAGCATAGTTTTGGCCATGGTCTGCCTCTCTAGACAGCGTTCAGACTTCGTGATCAGGGTACAACATCGTGATATGTGAAATGGTAGTGTGGGTAGACCCCTGCGCTCAAGAGGGAGGGTGTCAGTACGACTCCCCTCTCCACCTAAGTGTGGGTCTTGGTAGACTCCCCCTCCCTTCCCCAACACCTTCCTAGCGATTTCCCATATTTTCCTGTTTTTCACCCAAAAATTATTCGCAGAAAGGTGAGGAGGGAAGAGGGAGTATATAGCACATTTGAAACAGGAAAATCCACGCGAATATTCGACAACCGGGAAAAACTTCTTTACCCAACGCAGTAGATTTCTCTCAAATACACACACGACCCCCTCCTCCCCCCCACTCCCAGCAACCACCAAATACATATTACCCCCTGCCCAGCGAGAAAATATGACCCCTTATGTGCTTCACACAACGACCTTCTTCGTAATGAAGCGCGTGAAGCTCTTCAGCAATATGAAAGAATATTGATCGGCGACGTCGCTAGTGATTTGGAAGAGTGTAGAAGAATAGGAGAGTACCAGCGTGGTACTCTGGCAACGCACCGCCTCCCATTCTCCCATACATTTTCAAATCAGAGCTTTTGCCGAGCGATACCCGTATTTAGCTACGTTCTCTTGGGAGCACGCTTGCAATAGGCAGCGCGACGATACGCGCTACAAGGTGTCGTAGGCAGCGTTCATACTTTGCGACACCCTCGCCCGGGTTCTGTGGTCAGTATGCGAGGGCTACCGTGAACGACCTCGGCCAAAGAAGCTAGTTCGAATTGGGACCCTGAACGTGGGGTCGCTTACCGGGAAGTCTCGTGAGGTTGCCGACCTCATGAGACGCAGGAATATCCAAGTCCTATGCCTTCAGGAAACGCGATGGAAGGGTGCGAAGGCCCGCGAGATTGGAGAAGGCGTCAAACTCTTCTACAATGGAGCAGACACCAAACGGAATGGCGTGGCCATAGCGGTGGCAGAATCCCTCAAGGACTGCGTCTCTTCTGTGAACAGAATCAGTGATCGGATCATGGGAGTGAGAATGGACACGAAGGAGGGGTACTGCACCGCACCACAATCCGGTTGCTCCGAGGCGGAAAAGGATGAGTTCTACCTGACCCTGGACGAGGCCATAAGATCGGTTCCGGAAGATGACTACCTCACCATAGCTGGGGATCTGAATGGCCATGTGGGAAATGACAGAAGGGGTCTAGAAAGGGTGCACGGAGGCCAAGGAGTAGGTGCAAAGAACGCTGAGGGAGAACGGATCCTTGACCTAGCCACAGCTCACGACTTAGCAATCTGTAGCACCTTCTTCGCGAAAAGGAGGACTCAGAAGATAACCTACAGCAGTGGAGGGAGACAAACGGAAATCGACCATGTCCTGGTCAGAAGATCGTCTCTCAAAACCGTCAAGGATATCAAGGTACTGCCTGGGGAAGAGCTGGGCCCTCAGCACAGGCCTCTCCTGGCAGACATCGCCATAGACCTCCCCAAGAAGACGAGGGTGAGAGCAGAGCGGAGAATTCGGTGGTGGAAAATGCGCAAGGTAGAAAAGGATAGCCTCGGCCGAAGAATACTGGAGGCTGGGCTCCCAGACCCACACGGGCCAGTCCAGGACACCTGGACCTACGCAGCAGAGGTCATCCTACAGTGTGCCAAGGAAGTCCTGGGAGAGACGCGAGGTGGTATCAGAGGAGACAAGGCAGCCTGGTTCTGGAACGAGGAAGTCCAGGGGATCGTCAAGCAGAAGAAGGAAGCATATAAACGCTGGCAAAAGACACGGAGCCCAGAAGACTACGCTGCCTACAAGAGCTGCAAGCGACTCGCCAAGGCAGCCGTTGCTAAGGCCAAGAATACGGAAATGGACGCCCTGTACGACAAGCTGGAAGGCCGAGAAGGGGACAAGTTCGTCTTCCGCCTGGCTAAAGCTCGGCATCGCGCAGCTCAGGACATCAGGGTCGTAAAGACTGTGAAGAGCAGCAACGGGGCCATTCTCAGGAAACCAGCCGAAGTCAGAAAGAGGTGGGAAGAATACTTCGAGGGACTACTGAACGAAGAATTCATACAGCCCACAGATAGAGGCGACGGCAGGCCCCATCACTCCCTGGACGAGGATGAAGTCCGCCGTGAGCTAGGGAGAATGAAAGTTGGGAAAGCAGTGGGTCCAGACGGGGTACCGATAGAGGCATGGAAGGCCCTGGGAGAGCTTGGGGTGAGTTGGCTAACAGACTTCCTAAACAACGTAACGGCTGAAGGAAGGATGCCAGATGCGTGGAGGAGCAGCACAATCGTCCCCATCTTCAAACAGATGGGGGGAGTGCTCCAACTACCGCGGCATCAAGTTGACTCCCCATACCATGAAGCTGTACGAGCGCCTGGTCAACAGGCTGAGGGAACTTGTCCCTATCTCGCAGGAACAGTTCGGCTTCATGCCCGAAAGGTCCACCACTGATGCCATCTTCATCGCCAGACAGCTGATGGAGAAGTACCGAGAGAAGCGGCGACCCTGCTACCTAGCCTTCCTGGACCTTGAGAAGGCATTCGACCGCCTGCCTCGGCCTGTACTCTGGAGAGCGCTCAGAGAACGTAACGTTCCGGAGCACCTAGTCTCCATAGTGAAGGATATGTACGATGGGGCTAAAGCAGCTGTACGCACCCCGCACGGCTTGACGAAAGAGGTAAACATCACGGTTGGGGTACACCAAGGATCAGCCCTCAGCCCGTTCCTCTTCCTCCTGACTCTAGATGTCATGGCAAAAGAACTCATGGAGGGACCACTGAAAACCATCCTCTACGCTGACGACATCGCCCTGATAGCGGACAGCAGGGAAACTTAGGACAAGGTGCAGCGGTGGCAGGATGTGCTCGCTGAGAATGGACTCCGGTTGAACGTGAAGAAGACCAAGTTCCTGAGCTCTGAAGAGTGTACCGAACCCATCGTAGACTGCCATGGCGAGAGCATCGAAAGGGTCGAGGACTTCCAGTACCTGGGGAGCGACCTAGCAGCTGATGGCAGCGTGGACCAGGCGGTGAAGACCCGAATCAACGCAGCCTGGATGAAATGGAGGGAGTCCACTGGCATCCTGTGCGACCGGCGGTGCTCGAGAACGCTCAAGGGCAAGGTGTACCGGGCGGTATTAAGGCCTACAGCAGTGAGTGCTGGCCCATCTGCAAGAACCATGAAAGGCAGCTCCACTCAGTTGAAGGCTCTGAGATGGGCCTGCGGCTGGACACGACTCGACAGAGTCAGAAACGAGGACGTCAGGGCGTCACACAGACGGCTCCGATCCAGCTGAAGGCACGAGAGCAGCGACTGCGATGGTATGGGCACGTGCTGAGAAGGCCTGAGGACCACCCAATAAGGAAGGCATTGGAATTCGAAGCAGAGGGCAAGCGACCACGAGGAGCCCCAAAGAAAAGATGGAGGGACGTCATCAAGAAGGACCTCACTGAAGTGAAAGCCACGGCAGAAGATGCAGTGGATCGGAACAAGTGGCGTCTAACACGAACAGCGGACCCTGCGACGGCGCGGGAACGCTAGGGAAAAGAAGAATAAGAAGCTTCTACCGAGCGATACCTGTCTTTATCTGCGTTCTTTTGGGAGCACGCTTGCAATGGGACGACGATACGCGCTACAGGGTGTCGTACGTCGACACCCCTAATCTCGAAGTTTCTAACGTCACCTCACGCTAGTGTGCGGGTCAGATCGCACTCCAACCTTTTCATGAATCTGGATGGGACCCCATGGCGTGGTCGTTCTCAATGGATTGCTTTGATCAAAGCGCGGTCGATTCTTAATGAATTGCTCTGATCAACCCTCGTTCCCTATTAACAGTTTGGGCTATTATGACACACTCACCGTTGTCACCTTTGTCAAAGTAACATTCTGAAATATTGATTTTTCAGAAATCGAAAATGGACTGTCTTATGCTATGCCTTCTGTTATTTGTCACCTTTGACGTCGCCATGAGCGAAACACAGGAAAAATTCTTGTGCCGCTTGATGGGCGTAATTTTTTTGGCACCTATTGCAGATGCTGGATGTGGGGCATACTGTGCTATAAGGGTAAGATCCCTTCGCTGTTTGTTTGATGAGCTATTTTAGTGAATGCAACTCGATTATCTCTTTTCGTTCTACCAACTTTACGTACGACTTATCATTACAATGATAGAAAATGTCCAAAGCTGTAGTACATGTTGAACGTATGGGCGGAGTCAGAGATTTCATTATGATTCACCGCCAGCGGTAATGTAAGGCCCTCCGATCAGCACTTTGTCAGGACTGATGGTGAGCGTGGCAGGGAGCGAATCACTCCTCTTCCGGGCTCAGCCTTAACAAAGCGCTAAAAATGGTGCTGATGTTGGAAAACGGCTTTTATAATCGTGATGAGTGCACCGACTTACCCCTGCAGACAAAACTCCAACAAAAAAATACTGAATTTTGGGATAGGAACAGCTCAGTAGTACCAAGCTCTCCAGTAACTGAGTTAAAAATCCTAAAGGTTGACCGAGTGAAACCTGATCCACAAACTCTTGAAAGACCGATCAATTTCACCCAGCATTTTAACTATTTGTCGTCAATGACTTTTTTTGTTTTCTATATTACTATTTTCAGAACTGTGGCCATGGTGTCTGTACGCTGCAAGGCAATGAAAAGCTGTGCATGTGCGAAAGATGCCCGCTACCATCTCAGGCAGGATTAGCAGGGGGAGGGCCTCCGGGAATGCCTCAAGGAGGGCCTCCGGGAGGACTTCCGGGAATGCCTCAAGGAGGGCCTCCGGGAGGACTTCCGGGAATGCCTCAAGGGAGGGCCTCCGGGAGGGCTTCCGGGAATGCCTCAAGGGAGGGCCTCCGGGAGGGCTTCCGGGAATGCCTCAGGGAGGGCCTCCGGGAGGGCTTCCGATGAATGCCTCAGGGAGGGCCTCCGGGAGGGCTTCCG